TGAATTGATTGCGTTGTAGTTGCTTCTCATTACCATCACTTATATGAGCTGAACAACTTGATAAATGACCAGATAAATTAACTCTAATTAAAAAAAAAAATGTCAAACTTTGTGTATGATTGGTGATCTTGAATTATGAAGGGGATCTATGCAACCAAAAATGAGGGTGTTTGTGAATTTGAAACTCTAAAATGCAAGGGAACGGGCTTATAGTTATATTAATCTAGAAGGCCGGACTAGCCGTGTGGCATGTTTGTTGATGTAGTGAAAAACGGTTAGTAGTCTTGCGGATATTTGTCATTATAGCTTTTGTTTCGATTTCAAAAGATTTAATTTTGGTTTTTTTATGGTGAAGAAAATAGAGAAAGGCGACTGGTTGCAAGGCGAAGTTGGTCGGCCATTAGATGTTGAGATGGAGAATCTGTTGGAGGAGTCGGTTATGTGTAAGGTTCGGGCAAAACGTGGCTGTGCTACCCATCCTCGCAGCATTGCCGAAAGGGTATAGACTTTTTCTTTTTTAATCTCTTTTTTTGGTTTGTTGCATTAGAGTTAAAAGTTTTCAACTTTTTAAGCTGTTGTCTTATCAAATCTGCTTCCTTTTTGTTATGTATGCGATAAGGTGCGAAGGACACGGATTAGTGACAGAATACGGAAACTACAGGAACTTGTTCCCAATATGGACAAGGTAAATTGATTGCACGAGCTTGTTATGTCAAGTTTTTGATTTTCCGTTCATGGTCGAAATTTTCTGATTAAGATTAAGACCTGCTGCTGTATGAACCTGATTGATTATCTCAGCTTATACAGATTCTTTTTGTTTTGCATTTTTTTTATCTAGTACGTGTCGGGTTATTACTAAGCAGGCCAAGTTTATTGATGATGAATTGTCACGTGTATTAATTAATCATTTTTGTATGTTTTTGGAAAATTTTATGACGCGATGCGGTGCTACCGTAATGTCTTCATTGAACTGTGAAGTAAAAAGTTTCCAATTTTTGTGCAGGAGAACCTGTTAGAATAGTCTAAAACTGTTTCATTTGCTACTTAAATCTTGCGCCAAATAGATGTTCTCTAGGCAAAACGTAGATCCAATGTACGTTTGCATCTCTACATTATCCTGTGTGATTTTCATGTGCTTTGAAATTTTACCATTTCACCTTTTCCATTTAATGCAGCAAACGAACACTGCAGACATGTTAGATGAAGCCGTAGCTTACGTCAAGTATTTACAGCAACAAATCCAGGTTATTTTGTTTATTTAACTAGTATGCATTTTTTATAGTCTCTCCTGTTGCTGTTTTACGGTTTTTGAAACATTCGGTCAACCTTGAAACGTTGATTAAACATTGCGCGGTTGAATTCTGCACTCAGGAAGTTCCTTTCACACAACACTACCCCCTCTAATTTCTGCTATCTGAATAGGTGAATATGTTCTAAAACTTACAGATATTAAGAAAGAAAGGCAGTTTGTGTTAATCACCTCCAGTGGCTTTCTTGGCTCATCGAACTTATATGTTTCCTCATGTTCACAATCGTGCTCCACGAATCAGATACTCGCACATTTTGCACTCTCGATTTCAGTATTTAGTTTATTGTGGCGCATTTTGCGCTCTCCGTTTCAGTATTTAGTTCATTTTGGCACATTTTCCCGACAGGAACTCACTGAGGACCAGAAGAACTGCAAATGCTCGACGATAAACTGAAAGTAAACTGGGAAAGTTATAATATAAATCAATCCTACGAGAACTTGCAGCAAGGAGGGGATTTCTTCTTCAGGAAATGCTATTATGTGGTCACATAATCAAAAGAAGAACGGCGCTTATTATCTGGAGAACTGCGAAAAACTTGTAATCGTGTTTAAAAGCCTCATAATAGTAGAGTAGTCTCTGCTGCTAGGTTTTGTATTTGTGTGCTAATACAGAAATACAAAATTCTGCTGCTAGGTTGAAATCAACTAATTTTCTCTGTGTAGACATTAGTCCAGATTTTTGTACATTATCATCACATCAGACTTAAGAATTACTTTATCCCTTGTGTTTTATCACATGTAGTCAGATCTTGTGAAGGAAACAGAAAACAAACAACTCTCATCTCACAAAACTAAAAACAACTAAAAGAACAACCTTAATACAACAATGAAAAAACATAATAGAAAAAATAAAACCATAAACACAACATCTCTTAAAATTTCCATTTTTTTTTACTCAAGTTTTTATCATAAGCTCCTGAACACACCCTTTGTGCATCCTGAAACAACATTTGGAGCATTCAAATGCTATATCATCACTCTCCCTGATGTTTTCCCCACAATGGCCACACAGGTATCCATCGACCGAAACAGCCCGAACGCAGGCAACCGGGCACCCATGACACCCAACCGAAACCTCAAAACTGAACTTAATCTTAGACAGACGATCGAGACAAGGAATGCAGTTCGCGTGAAAATATTGTTCACATTCTTCGCATCCGTAGTACCATTTTCTCCAATCCACGTCCTTTTCACAAATCTCGCAAAGCCCATTTTCTTCTTCTCCTCCTCTGCTCGAGCTCGTGATTAGCTTCAAACGGTGTCGGTCAAATTTGTGGGTGACCCTGTCCGGGAGAAGAGCGCAGTGCGGGTGGATGGAGAAGCTACGACAGTTGCTACACGCATATGAAGTCACCTTATCGTCATTGAATTTTTCGAGGCAGCATTTACACGTTGATCTCCTAAGATAATCATAGAACTCAGCAATTTCCCTCCTCCCTTGAAGAATGTGGGCCTTCCTGTGGGCACCGTGCGTGATTAATTGAGGCATTAAGGCACACACCACATCCATATACTTTTCCTCTCCTCTTCTGGTATAGTACGCAGAGCCATTGCATTTGCGCTTGCAAACCACACACTCGAATATGTTGAAGGGCTTCATGGCTACCTTTGGTATAAACGAACAGTAGCCGCTGTGGTAGGACGAAAAAGTTTTTGGAAAACTATAACAACAGTTGTGCAGAAAGCAAGCTTTGCATGTATTGTTATTATTATTATGTGCGCAACTGTAAAATGGTTCGGGTGGAAGGATAATTTGAGCGCAGGCATTGCAAACACGAACAATGCCATTGTGATGATTGTCGTGATAGATCAAGGGATGCTCGTGTACTCTGATAGTTTCTAATGAAAACGTTTCGCGCATAGCTGGACGATGAATAAGTGATGAATAGAAAATCCTAATACTACTTGGATGATCGTAACGCTTCGTATTGCCAGAACGTAAGAACCGGAACTTGGGTGTGTTGGTTTTCGTAATACGCGGCATCGCGCTAGTGTGCTCGTTTTCCATTGGCAGACGAAGTAGATTCGAGAACTCTGCTTCACGAACCAACACTGCAAAATATTTAAACTTTTTGTTAAGTTTAATAATGTGTGTGTGTGTGTGAGTGAGTGTTTGTGCTAATTAAGAAAAATAATTGGATTATATATTTACCGGGCTCGAATCTATGATGTGTTGAGTTAACAGCACAGTCGATATGGACATAGTAGCAACAAGCGACACAGGCGTAGAACCCGAAAGCCTCGATTTCGCGGGTGCAAATGTGGCAGCTTCTACTTAATTTACTAACAGAAAATTCAAGGAGAAGAGGGTCCTGGTGACATGTGTTGACGATGGCATTCGGAAGAAGCGCAGTCTGGATGAAGCCAGAGATCGCAGCTCGTGCACGTGTAAGCCTTTACCTGTGCACCCTTGAATCGGCGGCCATTATTACTCTCTTCAACCGGCGAGTGTTGATTCCCGCACGCGCTGCAGACGAATGAGAGAGACGAAATAGACCGCGCATGCCAGTTAACAGCCGTTAACCTGTGCTCGTGGCTCCTGTGTAAGACCTTGATGGACAGGGCGCAGGGGAGATCGAGCGTGAACCCACAGTCTCGAATATCACCCATCGGGCACTCGTAAAACTTGCTCCCGCAAATCGACAAACACCTGGTGCAATAATATCTCGCATCGTCATGTTCTTCCGGACGGTGGTGTGACTGGTGTCGGAGAATGAGGGCTCCCCTCGGGTGCAATGGATGGTCCAGGAGTTCGGGAGGGAGAGATTCGTCAGAGCATGGATCGTGAAGCATGAGATTGCTGCCCCCCGATCTATCTACGACGAAAGAGGTGGAGAATATCGGGAGGCGACAAGCAGTGCATGTCCATGAGTTGGCGTCGTCTGGGTCGGCCATGTTTTCGACCTCGGGATAAGGGATAGTGTGTGTTGAGGTGGAGAGTCTCTGACTCATTTTGGAGGGTGGTGGTTATGAGAATGGATCAACAATGGTGGTCAGGTTAATTACATGGAAAACACAGCAAAAGAAGAAGCATCAACATATAAATGGGACAAAAAAAGAGCCAACGTAATGTAATGTAATAGTCTTTTGTGTAAGTTTGGCTTCCAACTATACTTCAAGTATCTAACTTTACATTCATTATTTTCCTTCATCAAATCTATATGTACTTTGTCAAATTCCCTGCGTCAAGGAAAACATATACCTACATATATATAAGCTATGCAGATCAAATGAGAATGGGTGATAGTGAAACATATAAGAATGAACCGCAATAGTTATCTACTGAAATTTTAGATGAAATTTGAAGATTCTATCGAGTACTATTTTTCCAATGGTTTTTTTTTTATCGTATGAATTTCCTTTAGAATATGTAATTTCCATTGGATTTTTTATTTACACCCATACTTCAACTGTTGGAAAATCTATCTTTGAAATCGTCAAAATCCTACGGAAATTCCAATAGAAAACTCATTCCAACAAAATATTTTTGTTGGAATTTTCGTTGGAATTTTATCATTTCAATGTGTGCATCTCGTCGAACACTATTGTGCATTCTGTACCACAATAGCATTTTGATGTATTTGTGAATTTTTAAGGTGCACTTTACTCATCTTATAAAAACACAAAACAAAAGAAGTAGAAGAAAAGGAAAGAAAAAGGGTGCATGTTAGTAATCTTTTGGTTATTTTAGCCTCCAAGTATAAGTATCTCTACCTACACATTTATTCCTATCTTTCATCAAATCTCTCTAAACTATTCCTA